GGAGTGTTGTTTTATTTTATTTTTAATTGACACACAATAATTGTGCATATATACAGGATACAGTATGGTGTTTTGATACCTGTACCCGTTGTGTAATGACTGAATTAGGGTAATTAGCAAATGCGTCGCCTCAAACAATTATCATTTCTTTGTGCTAAGAACATTCAAAATCTTCTCCTCTCGCTCTTTGGAAATCTACAATACGTTATTGTTAACTGCAGTCACCCTCCTGTGCAATACAACAGCAGAACTTATTTCTTCAGGAGAGTTGTAGAAGATGAGGCAGGAGGGCCTGGGGCTGACGTCTGACCGGAAGCACTTTCAGTGGGAGAGGCAGTAGCTTCTTCTGGAAGTGACATGGGCAAGTGGAAGGGTCCTGAGCAGGGGTGGGGTGGGAGCTGTGCTGACGGGGTTAGATACAGGTGGTGAAGGAGGTCCCTGGCTCTCAGAGCAGGCTCTGTCGCTTAGAGCCGGCTGCTGGCTATGATGGTGAGAGGCTGGCCAGGCTGGGCCAAGGTTGCTGCTAAGGGTGTGTGAGCAGATGCTCTGTAGACCACACCTCCCAGGACAGGCTGAGCCCCTTTTTGGGTTAGGATGAAGGGCTAGAGGCTGCGGCCCCTTTGGTCTGTACCTTGTCTACTAAGGGACCCATTCCCTTTCCTCACTCTCTTCCTGATCTTCCTGCCCACCTCCTCCCTCTACTCCTCCCCCTGCCCCTCTCCCTCCTCCTTCTCTCCCTCTTCTCCCTCCTCCTTCTCCCCCTCCTCCTTCTCCCCCTCCTCCTTCTCCTCTTCCTCCTCCCGCCACCTTTCCTTTCCCCCTTTCCTCTTTGCCTCTTTCCTGCAGCTGCAGCAGGCTGGGGGAGGGCTACCATCAAGTGGGAGGTGGAGCGAGCTGTACAGGGAGCAGGGCCCCTCTGCCGGTGGTGGTGGCCTGGAGAGGCTGGGAAGCTGGGATGGCCAGTGCGGGTGGCCGCTTGGCCTGGCTGGCCCTCCTGTGACTCCTTTGGTGTTTCCTCCAGCCCAGGGAATGAGGAGGTGCAGCTGGTATGGTGTGGAGGAGCCCAGCTGGGGGCCAGACTCAGGACATGAACACAGACAAGATCCCCGGGTGGTCTTTCTCTAGACCATGGCTGGGCTTCAGGGATCCTTGAATTTGTCTGTAAAATTGTGTGTGTGTGTGTGTGTGTGTGTGTGTGTGTGTGTGTGTCTCCCTGGCTTCCATCAGATTACCCAAAAGATCTGTGACACCCCAAAGCTTAGCCACCCCTTGTCAGTGCAACCCTCTATTTTCCAGAAGAGGAAACTGAGGCCTAGAGGGGGGCGTGACTTCCTGTGTCCCACCACTAGTTCACTGCCAGCCTGGGCAAACCAAAGGAGAAGGACACTGGTCAGGGGAGCAGGGGTGCGGGAGCTGGCCCAGGGCTGGGTACAGAGAGGAGGGAGGGAGAGAGGATGGCAAGAAAGGAAAGCTCAGATTCGCCTGGGGAGCAGCCAACTGTGTGTTTGGTAGGGGCCAGTGTCCGGCCAGGATACCTGATCCCCTTCCCCAGGTATTGTTCGTGTACTTTCCCAGGGTCCATGGAGCTGGGCTGGGCAGACCGGGAGAGAGTGAAGGCAGTAACAAGTTGATGGTGTGTGTGTGTGTGTGTGTGTGTGTACATGTGGGAGGGGAGAGAAAGGAGGATCAGGAGGGAGAGGGGGAAGGAGAGGGCTGGAGAATCACACAATGACACAATGACAATGACAGGCAGAGGAGGAGGCAGAGGGCCTGCTGGAGGGGCAGGCCCTCCGTCCCTGCCCTCAGAGGGGAGCTCTCCTGGCTCTGGAAGTCCTCTCCAGGCCTTGGGGCTGGAACAGTTGTGGATGGAGGCTGAGGCTTCTGCCAGAATTTTCCCGAGGGCAGTTCCAGAAACAAGAACCCGAGGGCTGTGTTCGCCCACAGGACTGGAGGCAGGTCTTGGGGCTTGCCTCTAAAATCTTATCAGTCCTTCCTCAGCCCCGCTTCTCCCTGCTCCCCACCCTCATCACGCGCTGTGACTGGTGTTGAAATTGCAGACTCTGGCAGCAGGAAGGAATCTTAGCAGTCAGTGAGCTCAGTGGTTTTAAAAATGTGTTCTGATGAGCCTTGGGGGCACCATGGGATGAACGGGGTGGGGCCAAGGGCTGAGGACACCTCATCCCCAGTGTGGTTCCCACCACAGCAGCACTGCTTTTACTGAGTAGTGTTCCTTCTAAGATTTTGTTTCGGAGAGTTTTTTGGCTAAAAGTACGAATTCTAGCCCTCCTGCCCCCTCCCCTGAGTTTTATGGGAGAGGAGAACTGAGGTTTAGGCTTGCTTAGGGTAACGGGGAATCCTGTGGCTGCGCTGTGTCTCCCAATGCCCAGACCAATTGCCTAATCTCTTCCTTCTCCCCAGAATGAGCTCAGTCTGAGGGAAGAGGAGACCGAAGTCCTAGCAGTGGAGAAGGAATGGGCCAGGGCTAGGGAGACATAGGAAGCCCCCTAGAAGGGTAGTGGCTCTCCTGCTGGCATAGCACAGGGTAGTCCTCCCAAAGAGAATCCTGGACCTCGGGTCTGGCTGCCTGCTCCTGCCAGAGCACTGGGGAGGCATAAGCTCTTTGCTCCTCTAGTCCTCGGGTGTCAGGCTGACTCTTGCGCCCTTGTCAGCTTGGTGGGAAGCTGTGGCAAGCCTGTCTCTCTGTCTTCCGAGGCTGAGCAGACAGATGAAAGCAGTCCCCAGCCACCCAGCGAGGAGCTCTGAGCAGCGGTGGCTTCTGGGCAGCTGTGGAAGGCCTTGTTTGCATATATGCAAATGATGCCTGGCTTCTCTCTCCCTGCTTCATTCAGGCGGATCCAGGTGCTGCTGGAAGAGCTCCAGATCTTGCATCAAAACTAGCCTCTTGAATGGGCTTTTTGGTCCCTCAATAAGAAAATTCCTTTGAAATCTTTCCAAGACCCTGGGACCCTTCCTGGTCCCCAATTCCACTCCCGCTTTCCGTCATGTCAACCTCTCGAACTCTTGGAAACAGAGCTGAAGAAACAGATTTAGAGACAGCCGGGGTGGAGGGCAGCACTCGAGCCTGGCAGCCAGGAGGTTCTAGGTGCTGGCCCTGGCCCTGCCATGGTGCCGTGTTTCCTGGATGAGGCCCCTGACTTGTCCCCACAATGTCCCTGAGGGGCAAAAGAAGAGAGGGGTTGCGGGTCCCTTCCAGCTCCCTTGGTCTGCAAATGTTTGCGAAAGCCTGTGCACTGGGGCTCTTTTGTCATAAATAACAGACACCCACTCAAGGCCATGAAATTAAAAGATGGCCATTTTAGGAGGGCACAGGGTGTCTCAAGAACAGCCTTGAGTGGGCACGGGGTGGGTTCAGGAGGGGAGGAAGGAGGGTGTGGAGAGCTGCCAGCTCCCTCCATCTCTCTTCTCAGCTCCTTTCTGGGCAACCGCCTCCATCCTCTCCCTCTGGGGGCTGATTTTTCTCTGCTCCTCAGTGCACGTAGTGAAAAATGAATGTCCCACGGCGCCCAAGTTCAGGAAAAATGACACACAGAGACTGAGTCCAGTGTCTGTCAGGGCGCAGCACAAAGAAATGATCAATGTTGAGATGATGGGTTACTCTGATCTAATCACCACACATGGCAGGTACCAAAGCATCACCATGTACCCCAGAAATATGGACAATTATTATGCGTCAATTTAAAAAGTCTGGCAGGAGCCTGATTCCAAATTACTGGGAGAAAACATCGATTAATTCAGCTTGAATGAAAAGATTCACTCTGGTTCATTCAGTCATGGCCAAGAGGTCAGGGACACGTAGGAGAATGTGGCTGCCTGAGGCCCACAGCCCTGGCTCTTCCAGGTGCTGGGTGTAAACTCCTTCCAGGTGCTGGGTGTAAAGTTCTTGAGTGTTTACACCCTACTAAGCTGAATTGCAGTGAGAGCTACTGAGCCTTTACAATGAGCAGACGCCATGCTAAATATGTTTCATACGATATGCATTCAATGCTATTATGATCACATTTAATCCTCACAACTCTCTCTCTTTTTTTTTTTTTTTTTTTTTTTTTGATGGAGTCTCCTTTTTTTCTTTTTTTTCGTTTTTTTTTTTTTTTTTTTTGAGACACCCTTTTCACTCTGTCACTCAGGCTGGAATGCAGTGGCATGATCTTGGCTCACTGCAACTTCCACTTTCTGGGTTCAAGCGATTCCCGTGCCTCAGCCTCCTGCGTACCTGGGATTACAGGCGTACGCCATCACATCCAGCTAATTTTTGTATTTTTAGTAGAGACAGGGTTTCACTATGTTGGCCATGCTGGTCTCAAACTCCTGACCTCCAGTGATCCACCTGCCTCAGCCTCCCAAAGTGCTGGGATTATGGGTGTGAGCCGCCACCCAGCCCCTAACTCTTGAGATGGGTTTCATTATTCTATCCATTTTACAGAAAAGGAACCTGAGGACTGGTGAGGTTAAGAAACTTGTCTAAGGTCATCCAGCGAATATGAAGCAGAGCTGGGAATCTTACCTGAGTCTCTCTGAGCATCACGTTTATCTTCTCTAAAATAAGAACTTCTGTTTAATAGGACTCTCATGAAGCTGAAGACGTAAGACGCAGTGGGTCCTTATCAGAGTGTTTGGCATGTACTAACCACTTGGTTATGATGAAGTGGCTCTTTGACCTCTGCTTGAAACCCTCGAAGAATTAGGCGTTTAGTATCTTCAAAGGCAGTCAATTCTTCCTCTGGGCAGCTCTGACTGTTAACAAGTTCTTCATTTCCTGAACTTTTTTTGCTGGACTGAAATTGGACTTTCAGTAAACTCCTGTCTATCGGCCTTACCTCTACAAGTTAGGGGCTGTAGTCATTACCTCTCAAAAGTGTTCATGTCCTAATCCTCAGAACACGTTGTTTGATGATGAGGGGAAATTAAACATGCAGGTGGAACTAAGGTTGCTAATCAGCTGACCTTACAATAAGAAGGTTAACCTGGATGACACAGGTGGGTCCAACATAATCACCAGGGTTCTTAAACGATGGAAGGAGTCGGAAGAGGCGGTGTCGACTGAGGAAGACCTGACGTCAGAGATGGAAGGGAGCTACAAGCAAGGAACGTGGGCAACTTCTAGAGAACGGAAAGGCAAGAACGTGGATTTTCCCCAGAGCCCGAAAGGAATGCAGCCCTCCCGACACCATGACTTTCTGACCTCTGAGTCTCAGAGCTGAAAGGTAATACGTTTGTGTTGTTTTAAGCTGCTACGTTTGTTACAGCAGCAATAGAAAAATGACTCCAGGCGTCATTCTAAGCAAATCAGAACACTGGTTCCCCGGAGTGTCTTCTTAGGCTGTACAACCCTGGTTCCTTCAAGTGCTCCTCACATAAATGTTTTAAAGAGCTCAAAGCCCTATCAGAATCAAGAGGAGATCATTAAGTTTGGAAATTAGTGGGGGGTCACCGGTGGGCTTTCTGTGGAGGTAAGTGACTTAAGCTTCGCGAACGGGAGGAGTCTGGGCCCTAGGGGTTTGCCACCGCGTGATGGTGGTGGTGTGGAAGAGGGTAAATGCAGGTATAATTTGTCACTTCTCAGGCTCTCTCAACACCATGCTAAATATCAGCGTAACCTTTAAAGAAGGCAGAGGCCATCAATTAAATAAACAGATCTTTGGTGGAGAGTGGAAGTGTAAACACAGGCACCATCTCATAATTTACTGATGGTAAATCAGCCGTATTCACTTGGTGGGCTGTTCTCTGTTCACCCTCAAGAAAAAGGAGGAAATCCATCACAACAGCATGAGGACCTTCATAAAACCTGCTAAGCACCAACATAGATTACAGAAAAAGGTTTGGCATTGTATTGCTGGGGCTAAGCTTTTTAAATTTTTTTTTAAACCAAGAGGTTGCAGGAATTTGCTGGGAATGATTTAGTCAGTGCCTTTGGATATGCAGGGTGTGGATGAGATGATCTTTGGGCAATTCATCCTGCCTTTTAGTTCCAGGATACACAGGTTCCCGCTCATGATTAAACCATACATGCAGGTTGCTTAGTATAGATAGAAAAATACACTGAATCAGTGTATTTAGTTCCAGTGACCTGAGGATGCGTGTGACACGTTCAGCAAAATCGGGCCAGGGATTAATACTGCGAACATCAGGGTGGTCGTTTTGGGCACATGGGGTAATCTTTTATAAGGGCTTTCCACTCTTCTGTATCTTAGTTCATCTATAATGAACTGGCAAAGAGAGATGGTTATTAGCAAATAAAATGCACTTAGAGTCCCCCATGAATCACTTATGGAAGACACCACGCTTAGCAGAGATTATGAAAATATGGCTGTTAAGGGCAACTCGGGCGTTATTTCTGGATGACTTTCAAGCATGACCACTGGCTACAGGACTGGGCCTGGGCACATGAGAAGAATTTAGGGCTTCAGATGGAAAGGCAAATGTGTGGGCAGAGTCTTGAGTCCAAGGGAGTGGCCTTCAGGAGTCACCCTGTGGTGGTGTCCACAGTGCGAGGCGTCCCTCGCCTGAGAAGGCAGCTTTGATGACTCATTACATTTGCACGTTCCCACCATGAATGAGAGAAAGAGAGGTCAGCTGCAAAGGCAATTAATTCAACACAACTGAGGTTTGGCAATTAACTTTTAAGTATGCAAGCAGTTGAGAGCGAGGAAGTGGTTTCCTCTTAGCACAGCCAGTGAAAGATGGTGCGATGTTATCAACGCTTTTGGGTAACCAGCAAAAAGTTTTAAAATTCCTACTCTGCCCGCAGTCAGCGTATGAGTGATGATAGCCTAATGATAGGGGTGCAGGAGCCCAAAGCAGGGGAGAATTGGTGCTCTCTGGATCAACTATAAATAGAACTTAAGATCTTTCTAGAAGGCGGGGGAAGCAATCAGCTAGCTAAAGATTTGTGCAGGAGTTTGCCCGAGAGAACACTTCGACCTAGGCTTTTTATTTCCTTTACAATCTGTAACTAAAGCGAAATAGACTAGACGAGCTTCCCCACAGGTGAGTTCTATGACTGCCTGCTGGGAACTGGGCGGGGTCCTGTGGTGGAGGCGGCGGTAGGGCAGGAGGGCTCCACTTTGAATCTTTGCTCCACCATGTTTGAGTTGTTGGACCCTGGAAGCCCTTTTACCTGCTTTGGACTCCTCTGTAAAGTAAGGGTCAAAATACTTACCTGGTAAAAGACTTGGCTATTATGAAGATGAAAAGATGTTTCATAAATCCACACTATGTTTTGGGGCTTGTGGGGAGATAGAAATGCCTGTCCTGGCCGGGCGCGGTGGCTCACGCCTGTAATCCCAGCACTTTGGGAGGCCGAGGCGGGTGGATCACGAGGTCAAGAGATCGAGACCATCCTGGTCAACATGGTGAAACCCC